TCTAACTCCTGGCATAGAGTGCAAAAAAATGTTTGTAAAAAAAAAAAAGATAAATATTAAAAAATAAAAGAAAAAAATACCTAGAAGGTTTGATCTAGTTCTGTGCCAGGGTGTTTGGGTCAAAGGTCAGGGTCAAAGGTCAGAATTAAAAAAAAATGGTGTCAGTGTGTTTTAGGTAAAAAAGAACAAAAACAAAATGTACACAATTGTTTCTGGGCTGTACTCCGGGTACAAACAACAAATAACATACACATATATGGTATTGCTGCGATCGTCAAGGGCTGGAAAATTTATTTTGGGTTGTTCTTTGGTGGTAGGTTATGGTAGTAACAAGAAACACAGCTAAATAAAAAAAAAAGATTTTTTTTTTTACTATTTTGGGCCAGTTTTCCGGTGATAATAAAAAAAAAATCAGGAGATATCCATTTTTATTATTATTATACAGTATTTATAAAGCACCAATAGTTCGCTCAGCGCTGTACATTACAAAGGGGGACAGAACATGTGACAGAACAATACCAATACAATGCAAAACATGAGGGGATCAAGGGCCCTGCTCCTTCCAGCTTACAATCTAGGAGGGAGGGGATGGTGGCACAGGAGGAGATAGCTGTGGGGGATGGGGTGGTAGGAAGAGTGGGGGAGGTCGGCAAGTTAGCAGGGGGTGGGGTAGGCTTCCCTGAAGAGATGAGTTTTCAGGGTGCGCCTAAAGGAGAGGAGAGTAGGTGATAATCTGATGGGTTGGGGCAGGGAGTTCCAGAGGATGGGTGACACCCTGGAGAAGTCCATTTACCACCAAATGAAAGCCCAATTTGTCCTGAAAAAAACGCGGTATAATCCACCTGGATGTACAAAGTGGTTGTGATGATATGGACGGTTTTACTATCACATGTCAACATTGCAAAATTGTGCTTAGGCATTAAGATTTGTTTTACCCAGGGGCGGGAAGGGGTTAACACCCCGAAAGCGGTCCGCAAAACGCGGTGCGATGTGCAGAATCGGATCGCAGAGGTGTGAATACCCGTGCGATCCGATTCTAGTGTGGACCAAAAAAAAGGGTTCTGCACCTTTTTGGTGCGTGCTCGGTGCGATTTGAGTCATACAAAATGTACGGCTCCGATCGCACCGCACACAAATCACATGGGATGTGCACAGGAATGCTGTGTGGTTCCTGTGTGAATTACATGCGATATACCGCACCGCACATACGTGAACCCGGGCTAATACTACTCAGTCGGTATGTTGGTCACTTTGGGCATCTCTCGATCGTTTCTTCTATGAAAAGAGTCAGAAAGCTTCTCTGTGACTTTATTCTTCCACATATTTCATGGTATGTATACCCATCCGATTTTTATTTTGACTTGTTTGTTACCATTTCTGATAATTAAATAATCAGACCAGCTCATTTTTGTTCTTTTCCATAATTCTCAAAACACAATTATCTCTTAAAGTTCAAATTTAATTACACTGCATTTTACCTAATTAAATAAAATTTTGTTTTAATTACCACGGGCACCGCAGAGAATGTTTGTGTAGACTGATTCCTCGCTGTGTCCGTGCCACGTATATTTTATTCATTACCGATGACCCCCCTTTGGCTATTAAGAAACTGAGCTATTAATGTAATGGCTGAAATTACGACCTTTCATTTATCCACCCATTCAAAGTGCTCCGCCGAGAAATATTATTCGGATTGAGGCACGCAGCTTTTTGTGCAGTTGCATGCGTGAAGCTCGACCTGTCTCCTTCTGTCATTGAATGGATCTTTCACTGTAATGGACGGCAGGATTGTCGCTTGCTTGGTAAGTGTGCCGTACCCAGCTGCTGTAATTCACGTTATTACATTCAGGGCCTTCTGCCACATTCACCATAGCCGCCATCTGTTCCTAGTTAATGCTCACAGGTGGAGGAATTAACATGTTAAGGAATCACCAGACACTTGTGAGTTTACTGCTACTGACATTTGTTTTGTATATTCCTGGGGAGTAATTGAACAATTAACCACTTTCAAGTCCAGACACTTTCACCCCCTTCCTGTCCAGGCCAATTTTCAGCTTTCAGCGTTATCACACTTTCAAAGACAATTGCGCGATCATGCAACACTGTACCCATATGAATTTTTTAGTGTTTTTTTGAGACCAATAAAGCTTTATTTTTGTGGTATTTATTCACCACTGGGATTTTTATTTTTTTTGCTATGTAAATGAAAGTCCAAAAATTTTGAAAAAAAAAAGTGTTTTTCTTATAAAATTTTGCAAATAAATAATATTTCATCATAAATCTTGGCCAAAATTTATTCCGTTATCTTTTTAGTAAAAAAAAATAACCCAAATTAGTTTATAACCAAAAATTATAATTTTTAAACATTTGTTTTTTTACATTTTTATTTTATTTTTTTATATTATTATTGATGTTTTTTTTTTTTTTTTTTTTTTTTTTTTTTACATACTGTCACCCTAGCAGTACAGTGTCACCATGGTGACACTGTACTACTTGTGGGGGGTGACGAAGATTTTTCTTTTTCTTTTTTTTTTTTTACACTGATTGCTTTTACACCCATAAAGGCTGTAAAAGCAATCATTTCTCCTTCTCTCTGGCAGGATTCTTGCAGCCATTGAGTAATACTGTGTGAGCTGTGATTGGTCTGTTTTTTTATACATTTGTGGACTTCCAGTCTTATGGTGAAGGCCCTTTTAGTCAACTATGACATGGTTTGACCAATTTGGTATAGAGGAACTTGAGGTTCCTGCACAGAGCCCTGACCTCAACTCTACTGAACACCTTCAGGATGAAGGATTGTAGGCTAGATTCCAACATTAGAATCTGACCTTGAACACCTTTCTGATGAATTGGAACGCCAATAGTGATCTTCTCATCCAACATTAGAATCTGACCTCAACCCCACTGAACACCTTTCTGATGAATTGGAACGCCAGTAGTGATCCAGGTTTTTTCTCATCCAACATCAATATCTGACCTCAATCCTACTGAACAACTTTCTGATGGATTGGAATTCTGATTGTGAGCCAGTGCCTGACCTTAACTCCAAGAACACCTTTTTGATGGATTGGAATTCTGGTTGTCAGCCAGTGCCTGACCTCAACCCTACTGAACACCTTTCTGATTAATTGGAATGCCAATAGTGATCCAGGTTTTCTCATCCAACATCAATACCTGACCTCAATCCTACTGAACACCTTTCTGATGAATTGGAATGCCAATAGTGATCCAGGTTTTTCTCATCCAACGTCAATACCTGACCTCAATCCTACTGAACACCTTTTTGATGGGTTTGAACATTGATGGTGATCCAGGTCTTCTCATCCAATATCATTACCTGACCTCAATCCTACTGAACATTTTTTTGATGATTTGGAAAGTTGATTGTGAGACAGGTCTTTTCATCCAACATCAGTACCTGGCCTAAAAAATGTTTTTTTTTGTGCAGAACAAGCACCAATTCCAACAGACACGCTCCAGAATCTTGTGGAAAGCCTTCCCAGAAGAGTGGCATCAGATAGGGTTGCAAAGGGGAAGAGGGGGCAACTCTCAATAGTCAACCCTACTGAACATCTTTCTGATGGATTGGAATGTTGATTGTGAGCCAGGTCTCCTCATCCAACATCAGTACCTGACCTTGACCCCACTGAACACCTTTCTAATGAATTGGAACGGTGATTGTGAGTTAGATCTTCTCATCCAACATATAAGATATGGATTTTTAGGCTGCACAGGCAAAAATTCCCAAAGTCACACTCCCGAATCTTATGGAAAACCTTCCCAAAAGAATGAAGGCAGATAGAGCTGCAAATGGAAAGAGGGGACAACTCTCCAGGCTTTAGAATAGGTTGTATTTCTGGGTAGGGGGTGCGCACGCCCTACCCGTGCCACCATTGGCAGCCGTGGCTGTCAATCACAGGGTCCCGGCCGGTGATTCCCCGCCTGCGCCCAGTGATTACCGAGGATCTCCCGACAGAGAGGAGGGCTGTTTTTCCTAACAGTCCTCCTCACTGTTGGTTTGGACACACTGCTCTGGATGACTGTGCACAGCCATCCAGAGCAGTGTGCTTACAGTGAAGCACCAACACACCGCCCCCCAGTAAAACACTCCCAGCACACAGTTAACCCTTTGATCAACCCTCATGTTAACCCCTTCATGCCCAGTGCCATTAGTACAGTGTCAGTGCTTTTTTTTTTTAGCACTGATCACTGTATTGGTGTCACTGGGGATGTCAGTGACACCAAGTCAGTCCCCCCCGTGTCAGAATGCCCGCCGCAGTCCCGCTGTAAGTCGCTGATCACCGCTATTACTAGTAAAAAAAAAAAAAAAAAAATTCCAGTATACATATACCGCCATTTGTAAACGCTATAACTTTCACATAACCAATTAATTTACACATATTGGGATTTTTTTTTTAGCAAAATCATGGAGAAGGATACATTTTGGCCTAAATTTATGACGAAAGTTGATTTTTTAAAAATTTTTACTGGACATGTTTAGTATCAAAGAGTCAAAAATACTGTTTTTTTTTTTCTCAATGTTCTGGCTTTTTTTTTAATAGTGCAAAAAATAAAAAATACACATGCGATCAAATACCCCAAAAAATGGGAAAAAGGACTTAATTTAATTTGGGTGCAGCATTACATGATCGCGCAATTGTCAGTTAAAGCAACGCAGTGCTATAACGCAAAAAAATGGCCTGGTCAGGAAGGGGGTTAAATCCTCTGGAGGGTGAGTGGTTAAAATTCCTGCCCGTTCGCCCATTATTATTATTTTACCTAAAGTTCCACTTTAATTAATTAGAGGTCAGTGGGAAGAATGCTCCTTACATTGGTGATCAGTGGGAAGAATGTCCCTTACATTGGTGATCAGTGGGAAGAATGTCCCTTACATTGGTGATCAGTGGGAAGAATGTCCCTTACATTGGGGATCAGTGGGAAGAATGTCCCTTACATTGGGGATCAGTGGGAAGAATGGCCCTTACATTGGGGGGGGTCAGTGGGAAGAATGTCCCTTACATTGGGGGTCAGTGGGAAGAATGCTCCTTACATTAGTGACCAGTGGGAAGAATGCTCCTTACATTGGTGATCAGTGGAAAGAATGTCCCTTACATTGGTGGTCAGTGGGAAGAATGTCCCTTACATTGGTGATCAGTGGGAAGAATGTCCCTTACATTGGTGATCAGTGGGAAGAATGTCCCTTACATTGGTGGTCAGTGGGAAGAATGTTCCTTACATTGGTGGTCAGTGGGAAGAATGTTCCTTACACTGGTGATCAGTGGGAAGAATGTCCCTTACACTGGTGATCAGTGGGAAGAATGTCCCTTACACTGGTGATCAGTGGGAAGAATGTTCCTTACATTGGTGATCAGTGGGAAGAATGTCCCTTACACTGGTGATCAGTGGGAAGAATGTCCCTTACATTGGTGATCAGTCGGGAAGATTGTTCCTTACATTGGTGGTCAGTGGGAAGAATGTCCCTTACACTGGTGATCAGTGGGAAGAATGGCCCTTACATTGGGGGTCAGTGGGAAGAATGTCCCTTACATTGGGGGTCAGTGGGAAGAATGTCCCTTACATTGGTGATCAGTGGGAAGAATGTTCCTTACATTGGTGGTCAGTTGAAGAATGTCCCATACATTGGTGGTCAGTGGGAAGAATGTTCCTTACATTGGTGGTCAGTGGGAAGAATGTTCCTTACATTGGTGGTCAGTGGGAAGAATGTCCCTTACATTGGTGGTCAGTGGGAAGAATGTCCCTTACATTGATGATCAGTGGGAATGCCAATAGTGATCCAGGTTTTTCTCATCCAACATCAATATCTGACCTCAATCCTACTGAACAACTTTCTGATGGATTGGAATTCTGATTGTGAGCCAGTGCCTGACCTTAACCCCAATGAACACCTTTCTGATGGATTGGAATTCTGATTGTGAGCCAGTGCCTGACCTTAACCCCAATGAACACCTTTCTGATGGATTGGAATTCTGATTGTCAGCCAGTGCCCGACCTCAACCCTACTGAACACCTTTCTGATGAATTGGAATACCAATAGTGATCCAGGTTTTCTCATCCAACGTAAATACCTGACCTCAATCCTACTGAACACCTTTCTGATGGACTGAAATTCTGATTGTGAGCCAGTGCCTGACCTCAACCCCACTGAACACCTTTCTGATGGATTTGAACATTGATGGTGATCCAGGTCTTCTCATCCAATATCATTACCTGACCTCAATCCTACTGAACACCTTTCTGATGATTTGGAAAGTTGATTGTGAGACAGGTCTTCTCATCCAACATCAGTACCTGGCCTAAACAATGTCCCTTACATTGGTGGTCAGTGGGAAAGAATGTCCCTTACATTGGTGGTCAGTGGGAAGAATGTCCCTTACATTGGTGGTCAGTGGGAAGAATGTCCCTTACATTGGTGATCAGTGGGAAGAATGCTCCTTACATTGGTGATCAGTGGGAAGAATGTCCCTTACATTGGTGATCAGTGGGAAGAATGTCCCTTACATTGGTGATCAGTGGGGAAGAATGACCCTTACATTGGTGATCAGTGGGAAGAATGTCCCTTACATTGGTGATCAGTGGGAAGAACGTTCCATACATTGATGGTCAGGAATGAACACTCCCCTTACAGTAGGGGGAATGCCACCCCTACAGACAGCTAAAAAGATCATCAATGTCTTGCTGCTTGCTTTGTTGGACCTTTAACTATGCAGATGGGCAGTCAAACAACCACATTTCTAACAGTGTATATGGTTTTCATTCAGAAAATTATATTCATTTTGAAAATCAGATGTTAAAAGCAAACAAAATTTTGAAGCGTTTTCCAATGACATTTTGCAAGTCATCAAATGTACTGATGAGAATTTTTGTATGAATGCGTATAGCCTGCTTTAGACTTAGTTTATATTTGCAGTTGGGCAGCAGTAAAATTAGGTGTTTGGGGTGTGTTTTACCACCCTCCAACTACTCTCCTTACACTGCAAAGGCAGCTGGATTGGAGTAAAAAAAGACAAAAAAAAAAGAGGGCGCACTCTCCTCGTGATAAATAGAAAATGTATTATAAAATCCGTGATAAATAGAAAATGTATTATAAAATCCGTGATAAATAGAAAATGTATTATAAAATCACAAATGCAAACTCACAAACCAAAGAGGTCATATAAACAGACAAAGAGCCAAAGTTGACAGATCCAGACAGCGGAGGTCCTTCGGTGAAATGTTTTAACGCGTTTCGAGAGTCGAAACCTCGAGTCGAGCCTCTGAGGAAGGAAGTTCGATTCCTGAAACACGTTAGAACATTTCACCGAAGGACCTCTGCTGTCCGTGACTGTCATCTTTGGCTCCTTGTCTCTGTTTATATGACCTCTTTTGGTTTGTGAGTATGCATTTGTGATTTTAGAATACATTTTCTATTTATCACGGATTTTAGAATACATTTTCTATATATCACGGTAATGCACGAGGAGAGTGCGCCCTCTTTTATTCGCTTTTTTTTGTCAGCATTCACATTCCCCGATCTGTTGAGGGCGGCACCTCAGCGAGTGTCTGATTCCGTGTCTTCTGTGTAGCATGAAGAGCTGAGCGCTGGTTTTGGTATATGTTGGAGCTGGATTGGTGTGTACACATGCTGCGTCTGCAATGCTGTGCAGCAGAAATGATCCCTTCGTTGCATTCGGCAAGCAGTGCTGCCACTGAAAATGGCTCACTCAAAGGGAAATGTAAACAGGCATTCAGGAGTGTACCTTTCTGTGAAAAGCAGTCCACTGCATATCGCTTTTCGCAGACTGATGCAAGTGTAAACAAGCTCACAGCTGCAGCAAGGACTGCCACCATATAAAAAGTGACCTGTACTTAGATTCCTTTTCAGAGGTTGTTTGACAGGTGGTGAGGAGGTGATATGTCTCCTCCTTTACCACCTGTTTTAACCCCCTAAATGCTGCAGCACCACCTCACAACCGCATATATTGCATGTGATTGTAGGGGTAGTTGCAGCTCAAACCCATTCACTTCGAATGCGTCATGTTCAGTGGGCGGTAGTGCTCGCCAAATGTGACAATATATTCAACATAATTGATATGTACACCCCTGGATGCCGCATTTCCAGCTTAAGGGCGAGCAATTGGGGTCAGTAAAACACAGCTCATTTGCATGCTTTTACCACCAAATGCCCCCCTCCCCTCCAGAAGCGTAAATGAGCCTTTAGGTTCACACCAGGGGCGGACTGACACCCATGGGGCCCCCGGGCAATAGGGATCATGGGGCCCCTGTGTCCTCCCCCATACCCAAATAAGCCTATGAAAAAGCCAATGAAAGGTACCAGGGGCATCTCATGGGGCCCCCTACTGACCCCGGGCCCTCAGGCAGTGCCCGAGTGCTTGAATGGTCAGTCCGCCCCTGGTTCACACCTATGCAATTTGCAGAAATGCACAGCAGTCTATTTAACATGATTTCCTCTGGGACAGGATCACATCTCTGTGTTTTCACCTGTTTGATTTTTGGAAAGGGCCAGGGACTTTTTTGTAAATGCAAAACGTTGCATTTTTGGTTCTATAGACTTCAATAGAGACACTGCAGAAAAACATAGTGCAAAATGCATCAAAAACAAGTAAAAAATGCACTGCAAAATGTACTGCAGAAACAGATTAAACGCAAACTGCACAGGTGTGAATCTAACCTTAACCCCCCTGGCGGTATTCCTGAGTGTAGCTCGGGGTAAAGTTTCAGCACCACAAGCGGTAACCCTGAGCTACACTCGGGAATACACTGCAGCGTTTCTCCGGGATCTCTTCTTCACTTACCTTGTCCTGCGCTCCCGCTGTGTCCCCCCTGCAGTGTCCCCTGTAATTTCCTCCGGCCGATGCCGGCATCTGTCTTCCGAGTTCTGTTCCCTGCGAGCGCCGGGACGTACGGGGGACGAAACTGGCGGGAAATTCAAAAATGTGAAAAAGTGACATTCGCAAAATACACTAAAATCACATAGTATAACATTCCTGTATCAAACCATTTCACATACATTTTGTCCCGAGTGCTTTGTCCGGCGCCCTGCCTGCATTTTGACTGTTCTTTCTTCCTTGGAAACTGAGAAATGCCCATGGCGTCCAAAAAGCGCCCCTTTAGGTCAAAAGCGGTTTTAGACCGGCTAGAGAACAGCGATAGTAAATTAGAACCACTTGCAGAATTGAGTGATAATTATTCATGGAGGAAATGTGTCAACAGACACTGAAAACGATTTTGCGACTTTGCTCAGTGATGTGTGAACTTGGCGCTCTATTTCAAATTTCACTGTTTTTGGTTTGATTACATTATTGAATTAAATTTATTATATTATTATTTTTTTATGATTATTTATTAAATTATAATTTATGATTTCGTGTTTCAAGTTTTATCATCCCCGGGATGTTTACTAGACTCTTGTTCGGACAGATTTCAGTGAGTTATTCCTAAAAATTACAGGCCTACAATAAAAAAAAAATACATATTTCCATGCAAAAAAATGTACCGCTTTGAGCACAGAAATACTGACATCATCAGACCGCTAGGGAGGCTACAGTGTATCTAAACTCAGGAAAATGTAATATGTTGCGGCGTGCTGGTCCTTAGAATCAGACAAAAGCATTTGTTTTCAGGCATGAAACAAGGTTAGTCCATGCCAGAAAAAGTATAATGAGAAGAGTGTATAATGTGCAAAATGGAGTCATCAACACCAACCAATCAGAAATCACCTTTTACTGATCCGACTTCTGGATGCTGACAGCTGATCCCTTGCATGTTCCGCATCATTAGTGCTCTTTGTGCTTCTTTATGGCATAAACCCAATGGTGTTATCAGATGGGAGGATGCGAGTTAACGAACTCGCACTAACCTGTTATCCTAAATAGGTTCTGATGATGAGCTGCTTATAAACCTAAACACTGCTAATACTCCTCCATCTGTCACCAAATGGAGCTCATATTTTCCTGCCAAAAAGTTGACCCAACATTGTATTTTTTTTTTTGCCGGAGCTGGAACAATCTGCAGAACTGACTATAATTTATTGTAAGTTGTATCCTCCTCACTTTGAGTTACTGATTAAATCGTCTTCTACTTTGTATTCCTACAGCCTGATAAGTGATACTAGTACAGGGGTGGACTGACAACTCATGGGCCCCTGGGCAATAGGGGATCATGGGGCCCCTGTGTCCTCGCCCACACCCAAAAAAGCCTATGAAAAAGCCAATGAAAGGTACCAGGGGCATCTCATGGGGCCCCCCTACTGAGCCCGGGCCCCCGGGCAGTGCCCGAGTGCTTGAATGGTCAGCCCGGCCCTTTACTAGTACAGTATTGGAATAGTATTCCACGGAGTGAACATGTGGACTTTGTTCAAGTCTATATTGTAAGATCAACAGCACAACCATTGGTCCTTCCTCTCATGCCAGGGTGCTAGGCGTAATCCTAGACTCTGACCTCTCCTTTGGGCCCCACATCCACTCACTGGCTAAATCCTGCCGCCTCAACCTCCGGAACATTTCCAAAATCCACCCCTTCCTGACCAATGACACCAAAAAACAACTTATCCACGCCTTGGTTATATCCCGCCTCGATTACTGCAACTCCTTCCTCACTGGTCTACCGTTACACAGGCTATCCCCCCTTCAGTCTATTATGAATGCTGCTGCTAGACTCATACACCATACCAACCGATCAGCGACTGCTGCCCCTCTCTGCCAATCCCTCCACTGACTTCCATTCAGTGTCCTCCACCCCCTCTCTGCCAATCCCTCCACTGACTTCCATTCAGTGTCCTCCACCCCTCTCTGCCAATCCCTCCACTGACTTCCATTCAGTGTCCTCCACCCCTCTCTGCCAATCCCTTCACTGGCTTCCACTAACCCAATGTATAAAACTCAAAATATTAACCACAGCTTACAAAGCCATCCACAACACTGCCCCTAGCTACATCGCCAACCTCATCCACAGATACTGCCCAAATCGCCAACTCCGCTCCTCCCATGATATCCTCCTCTTTAGCTCCCTCATCACTTTCTCCCACGCTCGCCTCCAGGACTTCTCCAGAGCCTCTCCCATCCTCTGGAACTCCCTACCACAGCATGTCCGATCAGCCGCCACACTTTCTGCCTTTAGGCGAAAACTCACCTCTTCAGGGAAGCCTACCCCACCTCCACCTAAGAACTGTACTTGAATCACCTCCACCAGATCATCCCCCGCAGCTATCACCTTTTGTATCACCTCCCCCTTCCTTTAGATTGTAAGCTCCACGAGGCAGGCCCTCCTATTCCTTCTGTACTGAAATGTATTGTAATTGTACTGTCTCCCTTATATTGTACAGCGCTGCGCAAACTGTTGGCGCTATATAAATCCTGTATAATATTAAAAGTAGTAAAAAAACAAGAAAAACAAAAACCTTTTTTAGTTTAAACACATTGAGCACAATGAAATAAA